CGCAGGACCGGCTGGCTGCCAGAGACGCCGCCGCGCGCCGGGCAGCAGGGTCAGCGCGCATGCTGGCGGCCCGCGCCGAGTGGCCAGATTTTGACATGACCCAGGGTGTGCCCGCCGCTCCCCGGGCGCAGGTCGAGGCAGCGGCCGAGGGCGGCGACGCGGCAGGGGCGCCGCCGGAAGCAGAGCCCATGGCTGCTTGCAGCGAGGATGGCTTGGAGCCACCGCGGGAGGCAGCGCCCGCTGCGCCGGCAAGCAGCGGCGGCGCACCAGCGGGCGCTTCGCAGGACTTCCTGTTGCTCGGCGATCCGGTCGCGCCGTCCATTGACGCGGGTTACGGGGAGGCCGGGATGTCCGCGCAGTCGGAAGATATCGCTGAGGTCGTGTTCAAGGACAGGGAGGTGGTGAAGAGAACGATCTTTCGAGGGGAGGCAGTCATCTACGGGGCCGACGCGTGCGATTCCATTCGCAAAAACATCCCCCAGGCAGGCGCCCGCGCGCGCACTGCGCCCGTCAAGATAGGTCATTGGAAGGCCGCGATGAAGGTCAGCATCGCCCAATCGATGCCCATCCCTAGCGGCCCATCCACCAGCCCCCCCCCCCCGCCCACTCCCCCGAGGTGGGGGTGGGCCTTGCGAGCCCCGAGGGGGGCCCCGCATATCCCCATCCAAGGGGGGAAATCGGCCAGAGGAGTCAAGGCCAAGCCAGTGGAGATAGGGATTGGTCAGCCGATGCTGAGAAGGCAGGGCTGGAGCAGTAGCGCGTCGGGGTGTACAACGACGGGGTGGAGTCCGAGGAGCGCCCCGGCGTCGCGCGGATATGCTCGACGCTTCCGCCGGACAACCGCGCTTGCCTTAGGAAGCGCGGTCGGCCGATCGGGCCCCCCTGCTTCTAAATCCCATCCGACCCGCTGCGGTGCGCCAGGAATTTCCCGAGCCCAGATTTTTTGGAATGCCGGGTCGCCATGGCCCCAGGGAGAGAGCACCGCCGGGCCCCGCCCTGCCCGCAGGGACAACGCTGGCCAAAACCATAATGCGCGTTTCTTATGCCCCCCCCCCCGGCAGAAGGCCACGACCCCATGGAGAGGGCAGGGCGGGGCCCTCGTGGCGCGATTTATGGGCACGTAAGGTGCAGACCTCAAGAAGGAGTACCGCAATCGCCTGATGATGCTTTGCGGCGTCTCCCTCCGCGCGTTCACTGAAGCTATTGCGACCGGGGCTGGGAAGAAGCGGAAACCCGATTCGGGGCCCGCTGGTAGGGCACCCGCCGCCTCGCGGCCGCGCGCAGCCAGTGGCCCTGGGAGCGCCTCGGCCGGCAGCGGTGCGTGCGCTGCGGCAGGGGCCGCGGCAGCTCTGGGTCCGTCTGCGCGCCGCGGCGGCACCGACAGCAACGGCGCAATGGCAGCTCCTCGACCGCGTCCGTCTGCGCGCCCTTCCCTGGCCCCCGGTGAGTGGTGATCGCGCCAGGTGCGTGGCGAGCGAGGCGGCAGCGTTGCGCGGGGCCGCGCGGGGGCGAGGCCCCATCGGCATGTGGGCACCCACGCGCCACCAGCGGACACAGCATAAGCGCCCAATTTTGAGGAGCGGTGGTTTGTGGGGCCACCGTCCTGGCGTCTCCAGCTCGCGCGACTTGGCGACCGCCTGCGCCGCCCACATCAATCTTCCATTCGAGGACCTCGGAAGAGCGCGGCCCCCGGGGCACGCGCGCAATCGGCGCGAATAGCGGGGGAGCTATAAAGCAGCGAAAGAAAAACCCGTGACGCTTCGCGTGCCTCCACCAGCCCATCCGACAACGATGCCCAGGCGAGTTGAGGTGTTGTTGTGAGAGGTTCTCGGAGGTCTCTTGGAGTCATCTTGGGGCTCTATTGGGGTCCTCTTCGGGTCTTCTTGGGGCCCTCTTGAGGCCCTCTTGAGGCTCTTTTGGGGCCCTCTTTTTTTTTTGGGGGGGGGGGTGGCTGAGAGGTCTCTTGTGGACGTCTTGGCCGCCCCATAGCTCAACAGAGGGGGGGGGGTCCTAAATTCAGCCCCTCCCCTCGGAGGCTCAAAAACGGCGTCTTGGGGCTCTCTTGGGCCGCTCTTGGGGCCCTCTTGGGCCCCTTTTGGGGCTCTCTTGGGCCATCTTGGGGCTCCTCGCATCGCATTCGGGCCCCCCCCACCCTTCCCCACTCCTCCGCGACCACATCCTACCCGCATCTGCATGGTGCATTGGTACAACGGTGTAGGCTCAAAAGGCGGGGCAGGTGCGAGCATTGCGCCGCTATCCAGTCCTGCTTGCGAGGCGCGCCGATTAGAACTGTACGAACTGGAAATGGAGCTGCAAAAAGGGGACGCCATAGTGCACCCGAGGAGGACGTGCGGCCACTGTAGAGGACCAATGACTTCCATCTGCCACTCGGAAGCGGTAACAGCTAGCATTATGACTGTGGGCGGGTGGGAGTTGAGACAACACGCGCCACTAAGATGCATAGGTCGTGGCTGTGATATGCATGGGGACCAAGTGTGGTACAACTACGTGTCGCACACCAAAGAGAAACACATGTGGCGCTGGGGCCCTTCTGACAAGATGGACTACTTCTTCGCGACGAACAGTTGGGGCGTGTCCACGGCGTGGTTGCGGCAATTTACAGAGCGTTTGGCGCGACAGCACGCGTCTTTCCGAAGTGAAGCCGTCGCCCACGAGCGCGAGGCTGCCCGTGTGGGGGGTCTTGACAGAGTGCCGAACAGAGCGGGCTTGAAGTTAGAGAATGCTTGGGTCGCATGGCGCGTAGTCGTTCGAGCATGCCAGCACAGGTCCGATTTGGGCGGCCTACCCCCTCCGTGGTAGTCATCGACAGGAACGCCAAGTTGGCGTGGCGGATTTGCGGCCGGGACGTGGCTGAGCTCACGCAGCGCTCGCCGCTGGGCAAGTGCACTGCGACCCAGTGCTCCGGGAAGCCGTCGCTCGGGCGGACATGCTGCTCAAAGCGCCAGATTCGGGACCTTGGGGGCGCCGCTGGGCCGCCGCTGTCAGAAACTATCGTTGGTCATCGCAGGCGGCGGGTGTTAGAGTCGAGCGCAAGCGCTGAGCCTTGCGATGTGTGTTTAGCATGTGTAGACGAGCATTGGAGGGGGCGAACTGGGCCATCCAGGGGGTGGATGAACAAGTGGGCCGTTCATCGGGTGGATGGAAGCGCGGTGGTGCGAGAAATCACAGCTGGGATTGCGGATGGCTCGGCCGTCCACTTTCACTTCGTCCCTCAACCATCTTTGCTGGAATCAGCTCCTGCCAGCTAGACAGCCCTGGGCCCTCTCGACTGTCTCCACTTCTCTTGCGTATTTAATGGTCCCACTGGCTTTCGATCTCTTCTCCCTTCATGTTTTCTCAGTGTCCTCCACACCTGTACTGCTGCCCTTCTAGACGCGGTGCACTCGCCTCGACGTTGGGTTGTCAAAAAAAGGGGGAGGAGGAGGGGAGGAGGAGGAGAAGGAGGAGAAGGAGGAGGAGGGAGAGGTGATAATGGGATGAATGAGGGAGGAGGAGGAAAAGGAGGTTCATAAGGATGAGCATGGAGGACGATGAGGGAGGAGGGCGGGAGCAGGATTGCGGAGGATGATGGAGGAGGAAGGAGGGGGGGCGGAAGGATGAGGACATGTGAGGAGGAGGAGGAGGAGGAGGAGGACGACGACGACGCGGGGCGAAAAGGGAGAAAAGGGACGACGAGGTGCGGGGCGAGAGGGCAGGAATGCTGGCGGGAGGGAGGGATGGAGGGAGGCATGGGAGCAGGAGAAGGGGAGGGAGAGGCGGGGTGGTTTGGGATCGGTGCAAGGGCGCCCTGGGTCGCGGGAGCCAAGGCGGCCAGGCGCGCGAGTACCCTTCCCCCGAGGCGCGGAACGCCTTTCCGAGGGAGCTCTGGGAAGGGGTTCCATGAGCCGGGTGGATGGCCCACTTGGGGCCTCGGAGCATCAGCCGGACGGATGGCCCACTTGGGGCCCTGGACCAGTGCAGGGGTACTGGGTGCCCCGGTGTGATGTTCCATGAGCCGGGTGGATGGCCCACTTGGGGCCTGGGGGCGGCGAGGGGGTTGCGCGCAGGGCGTGCGAGGGTCGGGGGCGTGCATGAGCCGGATGGATGGCCCACTTGGGGCCTCGGGGGGGGCGGCCTCCAGGAGCCGGGTGGATGGCCCACTTGGGGCCTCGGAGCATCAGCCGGACGGATGGCCCACTTGGGGCCTGCATTCGGCCTCCGCGGAACAGCGTTCGGGAAGGGCTGCGCGCCTTCCCGGAACAGCGTTCGGGAAGGGCTGGCGGCGGAGGGAATGGGGAGGGGTGGGAGCGGGAGAGCACGAGGTTGGAAGAAAGGGGCAAATGGAGGGAGGGAAGGGGAAGGGGACGGGGGAAGGCGAAATAGGACAGGGGAGCTGGGGGAAGGGAGGGGGAGGGGGGGGGGAGGGATGAGGGAGGCAGAGTGCGAGAGAAAATGGGCGCGGTTGGCAGATGTAAGTAGCGGGCTAGCATCAGTGAGGCGCTGAACGACACTGGTGTGGGACGCGGGGCGACGACGACGACGACGACGACGACGACGACGACGCGGGGCGAAAAGGGGAGTGAAGGGAGAAAAGGGGAGGTGGCGGCGGAGGGGGCAAGGGGCTGCGCGGTGGGCGGAGGCAGGGGGAGGGCCAGCACGGGAGCGTGCACGGGGCAGACCAGGCGAAGTGGCCACTTCGGCGCCACAGAAAGGGCGCGGCGGTCGACGGGCACACCTAGGACGAGAAGGAGAGAGGGTGGCAGAACAGCAATTCCAAGGCTGCCCCTCGCAGACAATTTGGCTTCACTCGTGCGGCCTGATCCCGCTTCGAGGTGTCTCCATGTCGACGCGGTAGCGGGCCGTGGGCCGAGGCGACCGAACTGCTCCGAACGCTGGGCGGAAAGGCGTTCCAGAAATCTTGGAACGCCTCCCCGAAAGCCGTTCCATGCACCCTTTCGACGGCCCACCTTCTGGATGGCCCTGTTCGCCCCGCCTAAGAGCACGGGCAGCCAGACCGGCGTTTTAGGCAGCGTTGGACGGCAGCCTGCAACGTGGCGGCGGGGCAGCTGCAAGACTACTGGAGCAAGGTCGGCAGCGGCGCGCATGTCCCGACCGCGTCGCCAGAGGCGGATCTGACGGCAGCGTCGTGCAAGACGCACGAGGAGAAGACGCCTGGGAAGGCGACCCGCCGCGGGGGGAAGCGATGCGGTTGGCTCTACGCATGCGCCCCAGAGGGATACATTCTCCACCTGAAGGAAGACGTCGGTTCGGAAAGCTTGCCGCAACGATATTTCTCCCTTGCTGAGCTGGTGGAGAAAGCGCCCGCCATCCACGTGGTCAGGCACGATGATGCTTGCCACCTGCGGAGGTACACGTCCAAGCGCAAGGATGACGGCCCCCTGGCTGGCAGGATGGCGTACCCGAATCTGCAATGCATCACGGATGGGCTACGCGACAGGAGCCACGTCGACCCGCGGTGCTTGGCGAACTGCCCACCGAAGGCAGAGTGCAACAAAGAGTACATAGAGGGGCACAACAGCCAAGCGTGCGGACAGCTATTTGGTCGGATCGGCAGGCACAAGTTCGTCGTGCGTGCCATGAACCGCTTGACTGGCGCATTCTTCCTGCATGAGATGGCCGCCGTGGTCAACGCCGAGTGGCTCGCCAAATAAAGCAGGGGGAGCGCGCGGTGGCCGCGCGGAGCCCTCAGGGGCGCCCATCGCACAATATCAGTAGGCAAGTGGATACATGAGGGCGCCCGGCGGCGCTCTTGCTTGGCTTGCGACGCTTTTAAAGATGTCCTTTCGGGCGAGGGGGCTCAGCAGCTCGCCCTGCCAGCAGCGTCGGACTTGCGACGATGCCTCCTTGGACTTGGCAGAGACGCATTATGAACGGCGCGCGGGAGACAAGTGATGTTCCCGGCCTTCGACCTCGCCATTTGTGTCTGCACAGTGTCGTTCTTCCCCGCAGAGGGCCCCGTCTTGTCTTTTATGTATGCGCGCGCCCCCCCCCCCCGTCCTCTTTGCCTCAGTTCCGCCATCGTTGCTGCAGTGGCATAGTGAATCGCCGTCTTCCTCCTCGCCCCCTTCCCGTTTTGCGCGAGATGGCGGCCTTCGTTGCGGTGCCGTGCATCGTCCCGCGCGGGCCGTGCATCGCCCCGCGTGGGATTGTGATCACCGAGCGCACTGGGGGAACCCAGAACACCCATATCTTGCCAGAGCACCCAAAAGCACCGTGAGCACCTGGAACACCCAGGGCACCCGGCAGACCCGGGACACAGAACACCCGGCCCCAGAACAACCGGGACACCCGGGACACCCGGCCCCGGGACACCCGGGACACCCGGGACACGACGCCCGGGACACCCCGGACACCCGGGGCACCCGGGACACCCGGGACACGACACCCGGGACACCCGGGACACCCGGGACACCCGGGACACCCGGACCCGGAGCACCCGGGACACCCGGGAAGACGCGCAGCCGCAGGGACCTTGAGCATCCAACGCACCAATATATTGCAAACACCAATATATTAGGATTCTCTTGAAATCTCCTCCGTTAAGATGTCAAAATTCGCACCCGAGAAAATCCCCTTAGATGAGGGGCGTTGCCTTCTCTGGGCTTTTTTTTCGTACTCAGCGCACGAGACGAACAACAGGCTGCCCCATGAACTTTGTCATGCGTGCCCTTGAAAACTCAGACGTGTTCGGGGCACCCCCTCTGCGCTTCCCAAACGCCGCAGCGGACCCTCCAAAGTCTTCATCTCGGTAGTTCCAGTGCTTGGACGGTTGTCCTCCAGAAGAACATAATTCCAAAAATAAATGCAGCTTGGGTTTGATGCGAAATATGTTATCATGCGCCGTCGCCAAAGCAGTGAAATGTTGGGCAAAGCGCACAGAATGCCCCAGCATCGTGTCTTTCATAAATGGGGAAGACCCTGCAAGCGCAGCGTAGCAGCGTGATAAACTCTGCATGCAAAAATACATAGAAGACTCCACGGGGTCATGCCTGTCGCAGAACAGTTCCGCAAGTTCCACACCCCACGGTATTAGATGCCGAACCATACCAGCGCTGCATCTGAGCTTGGGATAGCTGTTTGATTTGCTTTTCACAACCCCAATGCTCAAGCGAGGAAGCCTGTTCGGCGCGCCGTTCGGAGGTTGTCTATCGTAAAACCCCTGCATCATAAGGTGCATCTCTCGCATGCGCTGCTTCTGCGCGCCGCCTGGGACTTTCCTCTTGTCGACGCAATACCAGATCAGAGAGCCCATAAAATCTGCAGCTACACTTAAATCCGCGCAGCGCAGCCATGCCAACATCAAAACTCGCACGCTGGCAAACGGAACCATCAATAAAGGGCATACTCGATGTCCAGAATCCAGGATTTTCATCAAGAGTTCTTGCCATGATCTGCGGTCCGTGCGCCAGGGCGCGTCGTGGCCGATCTCGGTGGAGACCGTGCGGGCATCGAAAACTTCGCTTTACCATCCTCCCTCTCCTTTTCTGCCTAGGCCTCCTCCGCCTGCTCCTCGGCTTGCCCACCCTCCTCGACGCCCCCGTCACTTGGCGCGTCGCCCTCCCCTCCCCCCCAGCGCGTCGCTCCTCCCCATCACATATGATTTCCTGTTGCGTGCCTCGTCGTCGTCGTCGTCGTCCTCCTCCTCCTCCTCCTCCTCCTCCTCCTCTTCCTCCTCCTGCTCCTCCTCCTTGCCCTCCTCCTCCTCCTCCGCCCCTCCTCCTCCTCCTCTGTCTCCCTCCTCCATCTCTCCTCCTCCTCCTCCTCCTCCTCCTCCTCCCCCCCTCCTCCTCCTCCTCCTCCTCCTCCTCCCCCTCCTCCTCCTCCTCCTCCTCCTATCCGTCTCGTGTTATTGATTTGTTTATGCGCGTTGCCATCCCTTTCCTCCATTCCCCTCTCCCCCCCCCTTGCCTCCTCCAGCCAATGGTCCGCACTCCACCTCTCGACTCGCCCTGCTGGCCCCGCGCGCAGCGTTGATGGCCCCCCCCCGCTTCTTGGGCGAGCGCCCCCTAGCGATAGGGGATGGCCTTTGCAGCGTCAGCGCGGGGGGCGCGCAATTTTCGCGCTGGGGCCCCCCTCCTCAGGCAGCGCAAGGGGGGGCGGGGCGTTGGGGCAGGGGTCGGTGGAGGCAGAACTGGGTTGGCTATGTGTTTTTCCCTGTGACCTCGGGCAGCTTGATCTTACACTGGAAGCAGCACTCCGCGCCCTGCCACCCTGGCAGCTTCAGCACCTCCTTGAACATCTTCCAGTCGCCTTTGATCTGGCAAACAACGCCCCTGAGAGGGAGTCGCCCTCTCTCGCTATGCTGTTTGGCCCTCCACTTGTCGCTCTTCCCGAATGGCGATCCATCGTGTCTGCACGATGGCCACGTTTTGGTTGCGAGGTGCGCGAATGGCCAGCGGGCAATTTCAAAAATGCCATCCAGGGCGTTTGGGGACAACTGGTTCTTCAGCAAGCATGCGATGGGCGCGCGGAGGTTCGCGCAGCGCTCCTCTAGGCCAGTTAACAGGAGCGAAACAATTTCAGCGGTCACGCTGCGGTCCCAGTTGCAAGGCGCACCGTCTTGCCAGATGCCGCATGGGACCGTGTCGGAGTCGCCGAGGGGCGACGCTGCACTGTTGAAATGCTCCAGCGAAACGGGATCTAACCCAGACGTGCCAGTCATAACATCTGCGTGGCCGAAGAACGCCAAGCGATCCAAAATCTCGTGGGGCAGCATTACATGCATTTTCTGCAGCTCCTCCACCTGCCTTTTAGTGTTCCACACCCGCACGTCGCACGCGCACAAGGGTGGCCAACCGTTCTTGGAGAATTGCCCGGGCATTTTTCTGATGGTACTAAATCAGCAACGCCTGTGGCACCAGAGCGGTGGATGTCGTTTGCCAATTGAAGCCCCCAAGCGCCCGACACGATGTTGCGCGACACGAGGTCAGCGACATTCGCCCTCAGGCGTTTGTCTGCTGGCAGCGCGCGCCTGCCATGAGGCAGCGCGCGTTTGGACAGCATGCTGCGGCGACCTCTCTCGAGCCAAAAGCTACGGGCGTCCCTTGAGCCAAAAGCTACGGGCGTATCTTGCGCACTGGCGCGCCCCACAACAGGGCCACCCCTGCAGGAGAGGGGCGACGAGAAGATGCGAAGGTCCCCCTCGAGAAGGGGTCGCGCTGGATACCGGGCGAGGCGGCGAAAGGGGGGGTGGAACAGCAGAAGGGGGAAAGGAGAGAACGAGAGAGAGATATACATATATATATGTGCATATATATATAGAGAGAGAGAGAGAGAGAGAGAGAGAGAGAGAGATGGAGAGAGAAAAGACGAACGTGAGGGAGAGCGAGAAGCAACGAACGGACAGACAGACAGACAGACAGACAGACAGGAAACAGACAGACAGACAGACAGAGATAGGCAGAGACAGACAGGGGCAGACAGACAGAGAGCCCCGATCGAGGTTTGCGCGCATTTTTCTTGTTGGAGCGTCGCCTTGCGCCTCCATCTCTAGCGTCTGCGCGCCGAGGGGATGATATGGATGTAACTCAGGGAGCTACGAATATGATACGGAAACGCCACTCACTCCACGTAGCGCGAGAACCTCTTGACCGCCAGTTTGATGCCGTCCAGGTGGTGCTCTGCGGTGGACTTCATGGCTACGAGATCCTTGTTCAACTTGGCATAATCCTCTTTCTTCTCGTTCGTCTCGTGAGTGATTCCCGTCCTCTCGATCAGGAGCTCCACCGCCCCCTCGTGATCAGTCGCGCTCTTGAGGATCTTGTCAGCCTCCTTTGCCCAGGTGTCATATTGGCCTTTGTCACTGTCCTTGGCAGGCTTGGCGCGATTGTGGAGCTTCGCGCGGAGCGTCTTCAGCTTCTTCATCTCAGCCTGGTGCTTTGACAGGGTAGACCTAAGCGCAAGAAGAGGGAGGGGGGGCGCTTGCGAGGGGAGTGGGCAGGAAGACGAGGGAGAGGAGAGATTGCTGAGGCGATGGCGTGATCGAATCCTTGTTCGCCTGGATGTTCGGCCACAGCGGGTTCTCCAGCTTCACTGGGTTTGCGCTCGCACTGCTGCTGCCGCTGCACAGCTCCCCCATCCTGCCTTCTGCCCATTCCAGCGCTTTTGCCGACTTGACGTTGCCCTCGCCCGTGAACTTTTTCTTGTCAGACGTCTCCAAGCTGTCCTCAGACATCTGTGGGACAATGAAATAGAACTCGTGCCACAATATGCTGTCCTTCTTGTCGTACTTCACTGGAAACGCCTCCTTCGCATTGTACGTCTGTGAATTATCCTCCCACCACTCCTGGGCGAACTCGAGAGCCAGCTTATGATCCTCAAAATCTGACAATGAAAGGTTCTGTTCTTTCAAAACTTGCGGAACTGTGACGTACCCCTTCGTGGCCCATTCCTTATGTTTTTCTGCATTTTCGCATTCTTCGTGAAACGTATGCACCCAGTCCAAGTTCTTGCTCTTATCCTTCTGGAGGGTCTCCAATAACGCCTTGCGCTCTGAAGGGCTCTTGCAACTCGACCAGACTGCCTGCGCTTCCGCTGCCTTCTTCTGCAAATCTGCATCAGTGCCCGAGGAATTGTACTTGAGCCAGTTGCGCATCTTTGTGGCCTCTTTCGGGTCGACCCCCTCCCCCTTAGAAGCCTGGCATCTCTTAGG